TTTATCTGGAAGGAGCCTATAGAGGGTTAGTTATATGGTAGATGAGGCCTGAGCATCTCAGAGAACAAGTTGTCATCCTTGTCTTGGCCCTTTCCCAAGCACTATAAGTGAGGGGTCAGGCAAGACCCCAGATGCAGGGCTGGTTGGATACCTAATAGTTTGCTCATCAGGCCCCAAGTGTGGCCGTCTGTTGAACAAATAGAGAAGGTCTGGTGATTTTTCCCTACTATCTTCCCACTTAAGAGTTCACTTCCAGTTGGGAGACAAGATTCCTAGCACCTCTGGTGTCAAAAGGCTGTCTTGAGGTTGTGCCAATTAATTACCAAACATTGAGCCTGTGGGCTTTGAGTGGGAGTGTTACCCCAGTGAGCCTTATCTCAGCCAATTACCTTTCTTGACAGTAGGAGCGGCTTCCCTCTTCCATTCCCTCTCTTCACTCTACTTTCTTCCCTTTCCCTGTCCTTCATCCCACTGCTTTCCATTTCTTTCTGGGTGGTAGGGGAGATTGACTCCCTGCTCAAGGACACTCCCTGTTGGGCGTAGGATGTGCCTACAAAAAGTTCCCTGAGCCTGTAAGCACTCCAGGTGGGGAAGTGGACAGGAGCCATTGGCCATAACCAGACAGAATTTGGAGAAGTTTTCATAAAGCTCCTCTGAGAGTTTTAAAGAAATATATGTAGCATGATTTTTTAGAAGAGGATAAAGGTTATTTAAATAGGATTTGATCATGCAACAACCAGAGTGTCACAACCAGGACAACCCCTGGGCCCCATTCCTAGGGCGTGGTTACTTTGTTTTCCCCTTGTTAAGACATAGGAAGACTTAATTTCTAAATGGTCAGCGACCAGTTGACGGCAGAACACTAATCAGATTTCCAGGCCCAAAACTTGGGGACTAGACCACCTTGTGTTGAGGGACCTCTGCCACCTGTGCGCAATCCATGGATGAAGTAAATTAAATGACACTACTGCCCTGATTACTCCTTAGGATGTCATCAAAATAGCATCAAATGTTTCTCCTCTTTCTTCCCCCAAGACAGTCCTGAACCTGTTAAATTAAGTCATTGGATTTTACTCTGTTCTGTTTACAGTTTACTATTTAAGGTTTTATAAATGTAAATATATTTTGTATATTTTTCTATGAGAAGCACTTCATAGGGAGAAGCACTTATGACAAGGCTATTTTTTAAACTGCGGTATTATCCTAATTTAAAAGAAGATCGGTTTTTAATAATTTTTTATTTTCATAGGATGAAGTTAGAGAAAATATTCAGCTGTACACAAAGTCTGGTTTTTTTCCTGCCCAACTTCCCCCTGGAAGGTGTACTTTTTGTTGTTTCATGTGTAGCTTGTTTGTGCCCTGTTGACGTAATGTTCCCTGGGTCTGCTCTTTGACATAATGGAGAAGGAAGGTCACCCAGCTCCATTAAGCCACTCCCCTCCTTCCATACTGAAGCTCCTCAAAAGGCTACTGTAATATGTTAACACACCAGTTTCTTCTCTTCTTTCCCACACTGTCCCTCTGTCTCTGGCACTGGCCCCAGAGTAGTGAAAGGCAGTGCTCTTTTGCGTTTCCCTCATCTTTACTACTTCAGAGTTAGCAACTAACAAGTTGAATGCACCTTGACATTCTTAATCACCATCTGCCTCATAGATCACCTCCTTTCCTTTCCCTCTGCCCACCAAGTCCTCATATCTGCAAAGAACCCATTGATTCCCTTGTGCCCTCTTTTGGGGCAGCCCGTTGAAACTGAAGCACAGTCTGACCACTCACGATAAAGCAGATTTTTCTCTGCCCCTGCCACAAGGTTTCAGAGTAGTGCAGTCCAAGTTGAGGCTGGGGCACCCTTTTCTTGCCACAAGAAGCCCATTCCTCTGTTAAGTCTAGCAAAGCAATACGACTCAGCCCAGCACTCTCTGCCCCAGGACTCATGGCTCTGCTGTGCCTTCCATCCTGGGCTCCCTTTCCTTCTGTGACCTTAAGAACTTTGTCTGGTGGCTTTGCTGGAACATTGTCACTATTCCACTGTCATGCAGGGGAGCCCAGCACTGTGGCCAGGATGGCAGAATTTCTTGTCATCGTGGAGAAGTGCCAGCAGGGGACTGGGGAAAAGCACTCTACCCAGACCTCACCTCCCTTCCTCCTTTTGCCCATGAACAAGATGCAGTGGCCCGAGGGGTTCCACTAGTGTCTGGTTTCCTTTATTATTGCACTGTGTGAGGTTTTTTTGTAAATCCTTGTATTCCTAGTTTTGTTTTTAAGAAAAAAAAAAAAAAACCTTAAGCTGCATTTGTTACTGAAATGAATAATGCACTGATGGGTCATGAATTCACCTTGAGAAAGACCCAAAGGCCAGTCTGAGGGTGGGGGAAACTCAGCTAAATAGACCTAGTTACTGCCCTGCTAGGCCATGCTGTACTGTGAGCCCCCTCCTCCTCCTCTTTCTATAATCCCAAACCCTGAGGTCAGGGGAGGAACCTACACCTTTCCTTCTCCTGCCAGCTGCAGATGGTTTGCCTTGCTTTTCCACCCCCAACCGTCAACCACAGAAATGAGAAATCCCTCTTAACAGCTCAGCCTTGAGTCCATTGCCAAAATGTCAGCATACCTGCCAGCAACTTGGAGGATAAGCTAAGGTTTCCCTGTGGGAGGGAATGAGGCAAAACGGCATTTCTATCTCCAAAACATGTTTGTTTAGAAAGTGACCAAGGGAATTTTCGCACAGAAATGCAGATTGAGGAATTGTGGTGGGTCATTCCCAAGAATCCCCCAAGGGGCACCTCAGATCCCTAAGGAATAACAGCTGCAAACCTGGTCAGTTCTCAGTGAGAGCCAGCTCACTCAACGCTTTGCTGCTAGAACCTGTTGTGGCTGCATTTCCTGGTGGCCAGTAACAACTGTGTAACCAGAATAGCTGCATGGCACTGACCCTTTGGCCGGAACCTGGTCCCTTGGCTCCCTCTGTTGATACCCACCATGTCCAACACAACCCCTCTTTCTGTTTTTAGACCAGTAACAAGAATTAAGGGGAAGCCCTGGCACTATATGTTTTCATCCAGACTCCTTTTGCCAGGACCCAGCCCACCACCCTGCTTTCCTTTGTCAACGCCCCCGTCTCCCCCGTCCCCCGGCCAATGCAGTGAGCGCCATGCAGCCATCTTGAGTTTAAAAAAAAAAAAAAGAAAAAAAAATACAACACACACACATACACACACACACTTTTAATGAATGTATCTTTCTAAAGGACTGACTTGTTCAATCAAATATCTGAAAATACTAAAGGTGAAAACCTTGTCAGATGTTAACTTTAAGTTTGATTTGGGATTCTTTTTCATATAAACTAAGTTGCTTTTGTTTTTAAGGAAAAGCGGGTCATTGCAAAGGGCTGGGTGTAATTTTGTTTCATTTCCTTCATTTAAAGCAATACAAGGTTATTGAGCAGATGGTTTTGTGCCGAATCATGAATACCAGTCAAGTCTCACACTCTGAAAAACTTGCAACCTTTTTGTTTGTTTTGGTTTTCAAATAAATATAAATATGATATATATAGGAACTAATATAGTAATGCACCATGTAACAAAGCCTAGTTCAGTCCATGGCTTTTAATTCTCTTAACACTATAGATAAGGATTGTGTTGCAGTTGCTAGTAGTGGCAGGAAAACATCAGGCCAGCGTTCCTCTGATTCTCTAATGGGGAACCCCAAACCACAAAGGGACGATAAAACAGGCCATTCCTAGGATCAGAGCGATGCAGAAATGGTGTCACCTGGATTTTCCTGCCCATGAACGTTGCCAGTCAGCACCTGTGCTCCTTGTTTCTCTATTTTTGGTTATGAATGTTGGGGTTACCACCTGCATTTAGGGGAAAATTGTGTTCTGTGCTTTCCTGGTATCTTGTTCCGAGGTACTCTAGTTCTGTCTTTCAACCAAGAAAATAGACTTGTGGTGTTTCTTTTATTGAACTTTTAACAGTCTCTTTAGTAAATACAGGTAGTTGAATAATTGTTTCAAGAGCTCAACAGATGACAAGCTTCTTTTCTAGAAATAAGACATTTCTTGACAACTTTATCATGTATAACAGATCTTTTGTTTTGTTTCTTTTTTTTTTTTTTCCTTGTGTTCTTCCAAGCTTCTGGTTAGAGAAAAATAGAAAAAAAAAAAAAAAAAAGGAAAATGTGTCTAAAGTCCATCAGTGTTAACTCCCTGTGACAGGGATGAAGGAAAATACTTTAATAGTTCAAAAAATAATAATGCTGAAAGCTCTCTACGAAAGACTGAATGTAAAAGTAAAAAAGTGTACATAGTTGTAAAAAAAAAAAAGGAGTTTTTAAACATGTTTATTTTCTATGCACTTTTTTTTATTTAAGTGATAGTTTAATTAATAAACATGTCAAGTTTATTGCTGCACATAGTTGAACTTCCTTTTGGCCTTGATGGGTGGAGAAAGGGGGAGAGGTGTGGACTGTGACCTGATCACAGAGTACCTTCCACAGGGCTATGTTTTAAGATGGAATCACTGAATTGTTCCCCATAGCCACCTTCAGGTCCCACACACACTGGTTCTCTAACTGCAGGATTTTATTCCCTTAGCAATGATGTATGTTCAGGACCTAATTTAACATTCTGGATATGAGCAAGGAGTCAAGAGGACAAGGGAATAGTTCTTTACTTTCTACATATCCCCCCTCTTTTATCCAGGGGAGGTCAAACAAGACTTCTAAGATACTGTGAATATAATAAAATAAAAACATTTCAGCACTTTCTCTTTGCTCCATTCCACCTTAAGGCTGGAACTAGATTTGTTTATTCTGTGTTGGAGGCTAGGTTCAGTTGAGAAATAATTATACACATTCTGCCATGCCAGGGGTCGATAACCCCAGGCCAAGGGGGGTGAGCTGACACATCAAAGCTAAGGAATGAGAGACATTCCTCATGGGGGTGGTCCCCAGGCAGAGCCTCCCCTTTTATATAAACTGCCTGCTAGAGGCTCAGCCCTCATTCCTTCTTCCCTCTTATCCTGAGTCACCTTTTAGAACTTAGGCATTGAGCACCATGGGGACTCCAAATGATCAGGCTGTGTTGCAGGCCATCTTCAACCCTGATACCCCATTTGGAGATGTTTTTGGGTTTGACCTGGGAGAGGAAGCAGACAAGGAAGAAGCAGATGAAGGTGAGTTTGACCTTGGTGTGTGACACTTCACATAAGCTGGCCCACTGCCCCCACCCCCCTTCCCATGATGAGAGAGGGAAGTGATGATGTGGGGCTGCTTGTTCCACYCCTTGGATTATGGTTTGAGATTCAAATCAGAAGCTGACTGATCCTTAGTGTCCCAAGAAGTAGGGTTGGCAACAGAAACTCTGTCAAGAGAAGAAGGCCAAGGTTTCTCAAGTCCATTACCCCTCACACCCCTGAACTTACCACTTACTTCTTTCCATATCCAGGCTTAATAGTCTTGAGTGATATTAAACTCTCAAATCTTTGCTATAACAATGTCATCCTCCATGGAATGGAGGGCAGAAGTAGGGCTGTGGGTAGGGGTTGAGTTTCATGATTCCAACAAGCACTTGTTAAATGTTCTTACTAGCTAACTCTTCTGCTGAGGGAGTGCATCCTCACTGGTCCCTAGTGGAGAACTGGTCTTATTTCTAGAGAAAGAAGCCTAAGCCTTACTGAAACTTCATGGTAAAAATTAGAGTATTTTCACCATCTGGTAATGTCCTGACAGGCTTTGAGTAGGAGGCAGTAAAGCAGAGCTGAGGACAGACTGAAGAGCCAGAAGAACCAGGGTTCAAATTCAAGCTCTGCAACTCAGGGACTATGACTAGTTACTGACCTACAGGTAAAGGAGTTTGGTCTTCATTCTCTTGGCCATGGGTAGCCATCTGAGGTCCCTTTCCCAGATCCCTCTGAAACTTATTGCTTACTCCAGACTTGGTGACCTCAGCTCCACCTGCCACAAACACTGAAATTACTCCTGCTGTGACACACACCCAATCATTTCTGGCTCAGGTCTCCAGATTCCGAATTCTGAGAGGCTTTTTGTTGTTGTTCTCAACTGCACATCGATCCTGTATCCCCACCTGGCTTCTTCCCTGGCACAGATGGAGTTTTCCCTGGAGCACAGCTGGAGCAATCGAAGGCCCTAGAGCTTCAGGGAGTGATAGCAGCAGAGGCTGGGGACCTCAGCACAGCCCTGGAAAGGTTTGGCCAAGCCATCTGCCTGCTGCCTGAGAGAGCCTCAGCCTACAACAATCGTGCCCAGGCCCGGAGGCTCCAGGGAGATACGGCAGGTGAGGGGTAATGCCCAGGAGCCTCTGCAGAAGGGGCCCCTGAAGAGCACAGACAAATGAATTGGTTGTTGATGGGGGAACAAGGACCAGGAGTCACCAAATCCTTCTGGAGCTTGTGTTCTTACCTAAAAAGCCAGAGATGTGGTATGGGCCCTATAATCTCAAGGCCATTGTGAAAGAAGAGATTGCATTCCATTCATTAATTTAAGGAACATTTAATGAGAGCCTACTGTGTGACCCTAGGCTGTGTTGAGAACATAAAGATGCACTATTTGGGTCTGTGCATCGCTGTATACCTGTAATCCCAGCTACTCAGTAGGCAGAGGTAAGAGGATCACAAGTCTGAGGTCAGACTCTGCAATTTAGAGAGCCCCGTGTCAAAATTAAAATTTAAAACGTCTGAGGATATTATTCAGTTGTAGAGTGCTTGCCTAGCATATGGAAGACCCTCAGTTCAATTTCCAGTACTATAAAAAGAAGAAAAAGATGTGCTATTAAGAGCTAACATTTATAGAGTAGTTACTACAGCTAGGCATTAAACACTTCACACATAGGTTATAGTAAGATATGTACTATTATCCCCATTTTCAAAATGAAACTAAAGCATGCAGAGATTAACTCGCCCAGTATYCCCTAGCCAGGAAGTGGCAGAGCTGGGACTTAATCCAGGTGATAGGTACTTTTTGTGTGTGTGTGGGGGGGTACCAGGGATTGATCTCAGGGGCACTCAACCACTGAGCCACATCCCCAGCCCTATTTTGTATTTTACTTAGAGACAGGGTCTCACTGAATTGCTTAGTGCCCAGCTTTTGCTGAGGCTGGCTTTGAACTCACGATTCTCCTGCCTCTGCCTCCCAAGACACTGGGATTACAGATATGTACCACTGTGCCATTGGTGGGTTCTTAACCCTGCATGATACTGCTCCTCAGGAGCTCACTCCAGCAGGCACAGCAGATGTGTAATCAGGTTACTGGCACGGCAAATTCAAGAAGGGTCAGCATGGGACCTGTTCTCCAACCAAAGTTTTGAAGAATGAGTGGGAGTTGTGGGAGTTACCTGGGCAAGTGGGAAGGCTTCAGAAAAGGTTACTGTCTGTAGGGGCCCTGAAGGCATGCATAGGTTCCCTCTGGGGAATTTCAAATCTCCAGGCTGTCTGGAGCAGGAAGTGGGTTGGGAGTGTCTGACCAGCCCTCATAGGACTGAGTCTTGAAAACATGGGTTTCACTGTAGGATTGTTGGTGGCGACTAGATCAAATCAGCTGCTTTCAGTCACTCCAGCCAGAGTGGGAACAATGGGACAGAAGGGGTCATGTTAGGGACCAGAAGTCAGGCTGATGCAAAGGTGGAAACCACAGAAGCCTAGCAAGGAGCTTAGTGATTCTTAGGACTAGTGGTGGTGGAGGAGTTCCTAGGGTCAGGAATACCAGGTTTGAGAATTTGGACTACATTCTGGGAACAATGGAGAATTCCCCAATAGCCCCCCTTTTAGTGTTCAATCCAAGTATTTTATGTGAATATTAACAAAAACACTGCAGGATAGCTCTGGCTCCATGACTTCCTTCCAAATAAATTAAGTACAAAAATGAAGATCATAGAGATAATCAAAACATGGAAATAAAGAAGCAAGAAACTGATTGTTTTGTTGTAATAGTTTTGTGGTACTGGGGCTAGAACCAAAGCTTTGAACATGCTAGGAAAAGTACTCTACCACTGAGCTACATCCCCAACCCTGGGAGCAGCTGTTCTGAAGTGTGCAATGGAAAAGAGAAGAAAAAAAAGCCAACAAAAGGAAAAGCCTAAGAAACAGTTGTGCAGCTAATGACGTTTTTTAAACTCTGGGATTTAGAGTCAGTGACACACGCAGTAAATGTTTTGTAACTTATATGTGAAATGAACGACCCACTATTTGCGGAGTCAATAGGACAGATTCACTAATATGGTGAGCAAAGACCTCTACTCATGTTTCGGTGTAACTATGGTGGAAAATAATAATTATAAAGCAAAACATGAACTTCGTACCAGCTCTTCCCCTAAGTGGTGGTACAGTCCAGGACAAGTCTTCTCAGTCCTTCCAGGCTTCATCTGCGTAATAGGAACAACAATCCCCTCCAATCAGCTCAGACATTTGCCCAACCTCAGTGWTGATCCCCGGTTTTTTTCTCCCAACCGCGCTACAGCAGGTGGGCGGGGGCTCGCGCGCCAGCTGCCAGGCCGCGCCAATAACCCCTGCTCACCCAACCGCAGGTGCCCAGGCGGACCTGGACCGCGTCCTGGCGCTGAGTGGCGGCCGGGGTCGCGCCGCCCGCCAAGGCTTCGTGCAGCGAGGGCTCCTGGCGCGGCTGCAGGGCCGAGACGACGACGCCCGTAGGGACTTCGAGCAGGCGGCACGGCTGGGCAGTCCCTTCGCGCGGCGCCAGCTTGTGCTGCTCAACCCGTACGCCGCGCTGTGCAACCGCATGCTGGCCGACATGATGGGGCAGCTGCGCAGTCCCCGCAACGGGCGCTGAACTCGTCAGTCCGGGGACGGGAGGGGGCCTGAATCAATAAAGCTGCGGAGCCTCACCCACTGCACCTGCTTCTGCTTCTGCGTCCTACCCACGCACCCACGTAAGGGGAGCCGGCACTGAGATGGACCCCTCACTGGCCCTGAGCGCGTGCCGAGCATTGAAAGGACGGCCGCCCACCTGCCCGAGGTCGGGCATTGATTGGCTCTGCCTGGCGCAGGCCCCGCCCTCTCAGCAGACAGCGGTGCTCTGCAGACCTGAGCAGTTGCTCTGGCTGCACTCGGGAGGGAACCAGGTGAGCTGCCTGAGAGGCGGGGGAAGGATGCTTCAGCGATCTCGGCCTCCGGGATCCGAGTCCACCTGAGCAATCAATCGGAATGGGGAAAGGGGTATAGGACGAGAGATGGGAGGAGGAACGCGGCAGGAGAGGACTGGGTCGGGAGAAGGGCGATCCCTTTGGGGGAGGGGCATATGTAGACTCAGAGTGTGTGTGTGTGTGTGTGTGTGTGTGTGTGTGTGTGTGTGTGTGTTGCGCGCGCATATACGTATGGTGCGGCTGCACGCTTGATTTTTGCTTCTCTGTATTTGCGGATGTATGCTGTTTGTCTCTGGCAGTTCAGTGCTGGATTCTGCGCTCGCAGGGTATCCAGGTATGTGCCTTTGGGCTTTGCTGAAGGTGCCGCGCCTTGGCCACCGAGAACCAGTCTACATTCATGTTTGCGTGCATGGGCCTTTTTGGTTTGGGAGAGTAAATTCCTGAAAGAATTGCTAGGCCTGTCTGCTTTTACCTGGCTGACACCAGGCCTGCCCCCTTCTCTCAGCAGCCTGGGCCCAGGCCCGGCCACCATGAGGCTGCCTCAGGGCCCAGCTACCCTCCCGCACACACTGCTGCTCCTGCCAACCCTTCTGAGCTCAGGTACATCCCTGTTTATTCCTTGGCCAAGCACTTCCGGAAATCAGAGCCCCATCCCTCCCCTCCTTGCCTGCATCTAACATTTGGGTACCCACTCCAGAGCCAGGTGCCCCCCTCCCACTGACCCATCCTAGGTCCAGCCAGTCCCTAATGAGAGAAACGAGGTGCCCTGTTTTTTTGGCCTGTTGCCCCTCAGCTAGGGAACCTCATCCTAGTCACAGCACAAAACCAGAGGCTGCCTGCTGTGTTCCAGGTTGGGGGGAGTTGGCGCCACAAATTGATGGTCAGACCTGGGCTGAACGGGCACTTCGGGAGAATGAACGCCATGCCTTCACCTGCCGGGTGTCAGGGGGACTTGGCACTCCCCAGTTGGCTTGGTACCTGGATGGACAGCTTCAGGAAGCCAGCACCTCAAGACTGCTGAGTGTGGGCGGGGAGGCCTTCTCTGGAGGCACTAGCACCTTTACTGTCACTGCTCAGCGGGCCCAGCATGAGCTGAATTGCTCCCTACAGGACCCAGGCAGTGGCCGGTCAGCCAACGCCTCTGTCATCCTCAATGTGCAATGTGAGTGTCCCTGGGGTGGGCAAGAAGAAAGGTTTCTGGTCCCCCAACAGCCATGGGGAAGCTGTTCCACAGGACTTTTAACAAACACTTGTCATTTTGCAAATATCAACTCACTTTATCCTCACAGCAATCCTATAGGGATTTGTATTACCATTTTACAAATGGGAAAACTGAAGCACAAAGTGGTTAAGCAGTTTGCCCACAGTTATAAAAGTTGTAAGAGGCAGGGCCAGGATTCAAGCATAGGCCTGGCCATCCTGTTTCTCAGTGCCTTGGCTAAAGAGAGGTTCAGGCCTCTGGCTCCTATCTGGATTCAAGAACAAAGGGCCAGAATATGAAGGGCTGTGGTGAGAGCGTACTGTTCTCTGCTTTGCACTAGTTAAACCGGAGATTGCCCAGGTTGGAGCCAAGTACCAGGAAGCTCAAGGTCCAGGCCTCCTGGTTGTCCTCTTTGCCCTGGTGCGTGCCAACCCACCTGCCAATGTCACCTGGATCGACCAGGATGGGCCAATAACTGTCAACACCTCTGACTTCCTGGTGCTGGATGCTCAGAACTATCCCTGGCTCACCAACCATACTGTTCAGCTGCAACTCCGCAGCCTGGCACATAACCTCTCAGTGGTGGCCACCAATGATGTGGGTGTCACCAGTGCCTCGCTTCCGGCCCCAGGTGAGCTTTGCTAACAACTGACCCAGCAAAGCTTCAGGTGGGCACGGGGATCATGGTTCAGAAATGGGAGGACTTATTGCCCTTTGGGTGGGTGCTATGAATGAATTGTCCCAGCCATCTTGGGTAAGGAAGACAGAATAGTTCAGTTTATGGTGTCTCAAGGTTGGGGGTGCTACCCATTTGGAATCTAACCAATGGACAACCTGCAGGACTCCTGGCCACCCGGGTGGAAGTGCCACTGCTGGGCATCGTTGTGGCTGGAGGGCTTGCCCTGGGCACCCTAGTAGGATTTAGCACCTTGGTGGCCTGCCTTGTCTGCAGGAAAGAGAAGAAGACCAAAGGTAGGAGCAGTGGGGCAGAGGGTGGCTGGAGGAATGGCAGGAGGTTGGGGGGTGAGCACCAGGGACAGCCAGCAGGTGGAGCTGGGCAGAACAGATCATCTCTGGCAAGTGGCAGAGCACTCTGGTCTCGGGGCCAAAGTTAGGCATTGAAATCACTTTTCTGAGGATTAGAGGTGAAAGGGCAGAACCCAACAAGGGTGAGTACACTGAGAATCAGTGAAGTTTCTTTCTCCACAGGCCCCTCCCGGCGCCCATCTCTGATTTCTAGGTAACTCTTCATGGGACTGGATTGAATGGGCTGAACCTAAATATAGGCTGGGGACTGGTGGGGACCTGGAGTTCTTAGGAGGCCTGGAATGGGCCTCAAAGCAGGAGCCAGTGGCTGCTGACAACAGCACATGTCTCAGCCTTTGTACATCCTGTAGTGATTCCAACAACTTGAAACTCAACAATGTGCGCCTGCCACGGGAGAACATGTCCCTCCCATCCAACCTTCAGCTCAATGACCTCACTACAGATTCCAGAGGTACATCCAGGAGTGACCCTGCTTTATCTTCAGAAGTGCTTTGAAAGAGGGGTTAGGTTCCATGAAGCATACCCCTCATCCTGGGCACGACCCCCTTTGTTCTTAAACAGGGAAACAAGCAGATCAGCCAATCGCTCGCAACAGCAGCCGGCCAGAGCTTCTGGACCCTGAGCCTGGTGGCCTCCTCACCAGCAGAGGTACTGGGGAAGGGCCTGCTATTTTCCTCTTCTTTAGTCAAGCCCTATACTATGCCAATGACCACTGAGTGCCAAGGGCCATCCAGAACTGAGTCCTCTGGGCATCTTTGACCCCACAGGCTTCATCCGCCTCCCAATGCTGAGCTACATCTATAGAGTGTCCAGCGTGAGCAGTGATGAAATCTGGCTCTGAGCTAAGGGTGAGATGGGAGTGCCCCACCCCACCCCAGCTTCTGGACACCCTGAGCACCCTAACCCCCTGCTCCTCTTCCAGGTCATCCTCTACCTGGCTATACTGCTAGCATGAAGAGGCCATGCAGCTGCCACTTGCTGGGTCTCCTCCCTGGGGTCCCCTGTTGTTCATGCACATGATATGCTTCACTGGGATCTGACCCATGGAGCACAGGTATCATTGGCAAGACTGCCAGCCAGAACTAAGCCCCTGTGTCAACTCAGGTTGAGTGCCTACACGTGATGACTGGGCCTTAGCAAGTGGCGCTCCGGCCGTGTGTGTTCAGGTATCACCCAGAATCCAAGCGTGGCTACATGCCCCGTATCAGTACTCCTTAGCACCTTGTACAGTAGGCATGGGGGAGGCCCTGCATGTCCTGGATGTCCTTTCTGTGCTATGCAGCTCTGTTCCCTCAGGAACATCTCGTACCCTGCCTGCTGCWTAGAACCAAACTGCCCTTTGCACAAGAGCCAACCCCTGGCCCAGGGGCCCTGGCCAAGGACAAATTAGTCCCTTTTGCTGCATACATCTCTGCCCTTCTCTGTTCCTTTGCCCCACCTCCTCTTGGGCATCACAGGTTATACACTGGACCCTCTTCAATGGGCATTAGACTTCCCCATTGGCCTGGCTTCCAGTGGTGTAGTGCCAGGTATTAGCACAAGTCGGGAAGGAAGAGAGTGGTCCCCAGGATAGCAAATGTGGTGGTGCCCAGAATAGCAAGAAGCTATGCATCATTTTTTACAGTGTTAGCACTTTAAGAACACCCCTCGGGGAGGGGGCAAGAGAGGGCCCCAAAGCCCTCTTGGCTTCCCAAAAGTTGGCCTTCCTGTTATTCACTGTGAGTGTCCTGAGCCCTCAGGATTGACAGTTTTCTCTCAGCGTAAACCTCCCCCACCAGTGGGATCCCAGCTGTGACCAACCCCTGGCTGCTCCATCAGAAGGAATTCACTGATCCCGCCCAACCTCTGTTGTTTAGGAGATGGTCACAGTGGGCACAGAAGCTTTAGGGGTAGACCACATATCCCCAAATATTCCAAGAAAGCTTTGAAAAGCAACATGGAAATAACCAGAAATTACCAAGATGCAGAATATATTTTTCCCTTGTTACTATCTTGTTTTGTGATTTTTCTCATGTTACTGCCTAGGACTGTGCTTGGCACACAGTAAAATTCAATAAACTTGACTGAATGAATGTCTCTATTTATTTCATTTGACTTTTTTTTTCCCTACTTTGGTGGCATTGGGGATGGAACCCAGAACTTTTGCACATGCTAGGAAAGTACTCCACTCCTCAGCTACATTTCCAGCTCGTCAAACATGTTTTTAAATAGAAAAAAAAAAAAAAAAAGAAAAACAACTTTTTTTGTAGTGCTGGGGATGGAACTCAGGGCTTTGTGCATGCCAAGCAAGTGCTCTACCACCTAGCCTTTCCCCTAGCCCTTAAATGAAGTCTTTAAGTCACACAGTAGAGAAAATACAGCATGCACCTTTGTATGTATCAGGAACAATGGATCGGAATCTGCTAATTCAGTGTTTGCAGTGACATTATAGAACATAAAAATCATGAGTAAGAGAAATGACTGAATTTATGAGTGCTGAGTCTCAGCTCTAACAGGGACATCTGGTTATTCCTTAAAAACCTAATGGAAAGGCTGGGGATGTGGCTCAAGTGGTAGCGCGCTCACCTGGCATGCGTGAGGCACTGGGTTTGATTCTCAGCACCACATAAAAATAAATAAATAAATAAATAAATATAGATAGATTAAAAAAAAAACCCACCCTAATGGAGCATTTGAGTTCATATCAAAGGATATAGACGAAGAGAGGTGTAGGGTGAAGGGTGAGGGAAGGGATGCAGAGCTTCCATGCCCTCTCCAGGCATGCTACCTTCCAGGAATTTCCATTTGTTCCAATATTTGGAAGCTTTCTCAACCCTGTCCTTTTGGGTTTTTATGGAGACTTCATTGCATTGGCATGCGTGAAACATAGACAATTGTGCTGGAAGTGATTTAGACAAAAAGGGTAGGATCATGCAGGTGCTGTGGCACACACCTGTAATCCCAATGACTCTGGAGGCTGAAGCAGGAGGATCACAGATTTGAC